CTTATATATACTGCTTCACAATGCTTTACAGCCCTAATCAGCTTACAGGTCAGTAAAATGGAAGGACGGAGGCTGAGTCAACCTTGAGCAGATCAGGTACTCTAACTACTGCATTCTAACCACTGCACCACCACAGCTTTTTTGCAGTTAACTATTATTCCAGTATTTTTTTCACAAGTATTATTAAGAAGCCAAGAATCCTTCATGAATGTATCCCAGGATAATGTTGCAAGATCCAATCTAGGTTGGTCACTGGAACTAGAGGTTTGGGCTCAGGTATGACAGCACAAGGAAACAACAGCCAATCACTGACCATCATCACATCAATCAACCAATAGGAAGGCATCACATAAATAGGACTCATAGAATATCCCAAAACACATATTCCAGTAGAGAGAAGTTTCCTGAGGAAAGGTTCCAGCACAAGTCTAAAAGCTCAGAAAAGTAAACCTCTTCTACCAGTGACTGACCCAGATTGGATTTTGCTGGAATCCTTCATTTTATACCTATGAATTTGATCTCTTTTCCTTAAGGGAAAAATATCACATCTGTATTAATTTGTTATTTTCAACCCATTTCATAAACTTACTGAAATCATTTTAACATAATTTCTGCTTTTAGCATATTAGTTGTCTCTCCCATTGTTTGTCAACTGTAAATTTATGAAGCATTAAGAATTGGTTGCAATTGTTTCCAAATATAGATATTTATAAATAAAGATAAGACTTGCAACTTTGAACTTTTCTTTGTAGCATGCAGTCCATACAGATACTATTTAATTAAAAGCATGTTTTTAATATGAGAAAACTCATATGGGAAAGTAGTAGGTACCAAGCGGAGTATCTATGGGACATTAAATTGGTGCTTACAAAGGTAGAAACATGTATGTAATCAACTCAAATTTGATGACAATCATGCACTGAATTAGCAGCAGAGGAAAGGTGTATAGCCAGATTTATAATTTTCAGAAAATATAACTTGAAGCATTAATTGCTTTGGGCTTGAAGTCTAAGGAAGTGTAAGAAATTGAAAGTATAAGAATCTTGCACACATGACTGTTCATGAAGAAATCTGGGATGGTAAATGTTAACAAAAAAGCAATATTCTGACACAAAGTCCTCTACAATTAGATTTATTGAACAGGAAAAGGATTAGATTACCAAAATCTTGACAACTGAATGCTTTCACTTTAGTGTATCAGTTTTCAGCTTATCTTTAAATTCATTGAGAAGCCATTCCTAATTGTCTTCATTAAAACTGTCTGATGAATAGAGGAAGTGACTAATTATTTTCATACAGAGATAGTAATTTTTTGCAAACTATTATTCATTTTATTGGGTTCTGAGAAGCCTAAATCTTGTTTTCATCATAAGGGATTTTTGTGGCAAAGTTACGTAGAATTTGTTCAACTGCTGAAAAGATTAATTCCGTCAGAATCAATTAACCCCTAATCTTTAAATGATGAAAGAGGGCTTACAGTTGAATACACATACAGACATCACAAACCTACACATATGCACTTACATGCTACAGTCTTTGCATTTTATTAACTTGCTTTCTCTATGAAAAAAGCTTCATTGTACAAGAAGCAATAGCTATCTTCTCAAAAAGTTCAGATAAATTAGCTAAAATTCTACGAAATTCATTTCACATTTTTGGGAAATGTGAAATACATGAAATGAATGAAACATGTTTGTATGTTAAATTCTTAACATAATGCTACTGAAGCATCAGTTATGTCCAGGTTCTTGAAAAGGGAAAGAGAGAGAGAGATGAAGAGAGATGGTGGGGGAGGGGTTTGAAAGTTCCAGAGAGCTGGTAAAGCCAGCATCTTAATAAAACATGAAGAAAAAGTTGTGTAAGAATCACTTGTTAGCTTTGTATGTTAGATGTTTTGATGTTTTATTGATATCAGTTATAAAATAAGATTTATAGCTGTCAATCTTGCCACCTTCTCAAGACACAGCTTTTCTGGAGTGATAGAATTAGTGACATGAGAAAAGGTACCTTATTTGGTAGATTTCAGAAAAGCTTCTGTGTTATAATAAAACATTATGCTATACAGCAAGGCTATGTAATAGTTTTCGTTTGCAGGGCAGAAAGTTCACATTTTCTCCATATTGTTCTGCAGCTAGATGGCAAAGCTGTTTGAAGGTGGAAAAAGATAGAATTGTCGTAAAGTATTGCTGACAGTGGTTGCATGATCACCTCTGCATGTTCTGAAGCATCTTTTTCTGTTTACCTCTTTACCTCTAGTGGTGCACAGGTAGGAGTGCTCAGAGCCAAAGGGAAAAATAGAAATCCAATGAAATGAATCAGTTATAAATATTGCTTTTTAAAAAATGGAAAACCTATGATAAAATTGTTCCAATACAAACAGTTTTAAAACTCTACCTTCTATTGACACCATGGTGCAGGTCTTTATATGGAATTGATAAATGCTATAGACAAACGTAATATGTTTTCAATGTTAAATGTTGTAGCTGTTGATATAATATGACATCTGACATGATAGACATCTTCTCCATATGACAGAATAATTTGAGATGATTTATTTGTAACTTGTTAGTTAATTTATCTATGGCAATGGCTACTGGAGACTTTAGATAATAGAAAATTAATTTTATAAATTATTGCAGATAATTATTGTATCATACTATGTACTCTAGCCATTATCTTACTCCTCCCTGCTAGTTTGGAAGGTGAGTCATTAGGAAAGTCATTGGAAAGCTTATATAAGTTCCGCAGCCTTACCAGTCTACTTTATTTATGTTTTTATTGATTATGTGCCATCAGGTCAGTATCAACTGTTAGATAGATTTTCTCTATAATAATCTATCCTTAACCTGATCCTTCAAACATCCCAAGTCTTTCTTTACTAATTGCCACTATGTCTATGCACCTTGGTGCTGGTTATTATCCTCTTCTTCTCTTTCTACTTTATAGTAAAATAAAATGTTACCATAAAATATTATAGCAAATTAGTCTTCATATTATTAATTAAAAGAGCTGAATAATTCTATTGGTGTGGAGAAGATTTGACTGCTGCTCTGAATTTGATTTCCCCATCCAACTCTTTGCAGAATAAATAAATGTTTGTTGTAGATTGGCTAAGATGTTTAAGACAGTAGCATTTGTGTATTATTTAATTGCTGAGATTCTAATTTGTTGAGAGTCTCTTGCTTCTGGTGGCTTATAAATAAATAAACAAATACCATAGTTGATAATTTATTTAGATCATGCACATCAAATTATTTTCACGTCACACACACAGACATAGACAAACACAGACACACACCCACACAAATACACACACACTTCCATAAACACAAGCAGTGAAAAACATAGAATTTCACTGTACTCTGGAATGAAATGCACAGTCTATCTTGCACTAATTGTTTATGTAGTAGTCAGTGAGAATCAACTTCTTATATTTATTTCCCCAATTTCTTTATATAGAGACTATGGGTACCTTGCAATAAGGAATGTAGCTTCATGCCCATACTGAATAATGTTTTTCGACTATAACCAGACAGTTGAAAACTCTTCAAAATCTTCTGCTGGTATTCAATATATATTATTAGCAAACTGTATTCTCCAAATGCAATTTATTTCACTTGATTTTGTTTGAGCAACTCTAGATATTGAAGATCCAATTTTACCAATTTCATTTGAGTGTTTTCTGGTTTATTGGAAGCCCTTAGGGCATGAGAAATACCACTGCTATTACAATATGTTTCTGGACAATTGCAGCAGTTGAATGACATAGATCCTATTCAGATGTTCCCTTAATTGCTACATGCTGGAGGCAGTAATCCATAAAGTATAAGCTCTTAAAATGCTGTTCTACTAGTCATTGGGGATACTGGACAGAGCACAACTGTTATTGAAATTTCTGGCAGGAAGTCATAGCTAGGCATATTATACTGGTTTGCTTCATTTAGTAAATGAAGCAAAAATATTTTTTGCTGACTGAAAGTGGGGAATGTATATTTACAATAGCTATCAATGTTGTAAAATATGAGCAGAGCTATATTTGCACTTTAAGATCTTCCCACTTTTCAGTTATGAAGCTTTGGCAATTAAAATGGTATTATTCTATTGGTGATGCAGCCATCAAAGCTCCAGGAATATGAGACAAAGGGTCTACTCAATCTTAATACTCCTATGTAAGATATATAATGATCCTGTACAAACAAATCTTTTTATAAAGAACTGGCAAGTTTGCTCTACTGGATAAGGCACCAGGCTAGAAAGTGGGAGATTGTGAATTCAAGTCTCGTCTTAACCATGAAAGCCAGCTGGATGACCTTGGGCTAGGCATTCTCCCTCAGCTCACAGAGTTGTTGTTGTAAGGAAAATAAAAGCTGTGTTCAGCATCTTGAGATATTTGTAAAAGTAATACATTTCTATAAATAAATTGAATAATAATAATATTAAACACATACTTGATTTAATGGTGATCCATTGTTTTCACTTGAAACACTTTTCTGAAGTCTGACATCGTCATTAGACATAAACAAGTAGTTGATTGAATAACAGCACATCCCACTTCTCCCAACCCTGCTCCATCTCCCCACTTGTAATTGGATTTTAATGGTTGCTTTTATTTATTTATAATTAATGATTAATAATAATTAATGTAGATAAATAGATATTTATGATTATAGGCTTCCCAGAAATATCCTGCGTAAAGATGGGCAGCCAATAAAAAATATACATAAATTAATAAGCATGTATTTTTAAAAAAGAATGGAATACAAAATTACATTAGGTGGTAATGCATGATTATGTTTGCCATTTAGTCTGTTGTATCACAGAGCATACTGTTTGAAGGGAGAAACTATTTTTGTCATATTTGGGACAAAGATACATCTCTCTTTCTATTATGGCCAAATACAGGATTGGCTTTTTGTTGCATTTGAACAGTTGTTGAAATCTGATTTATCTGGGATTTTTCAACAATGCTTTTATTTTCTCCTTTTCTACAACTTCTTAAGGAGCTTCTACACAGAATTCTAATGTGGTGGAACCAGAAAAACAGGTTGATAATACGGTGAAAATGGCTGGAGTTATAGCTGGTCTTCTGATGTTTGTAATTATCCTTTTGGGAGCGATGCTTACAATCAAAAGAAGGTATGTTTCTAAGATGTCTACATTGCCTTGATTTGGGAATGTTTATTATTGCTGTTATCTTTTGTTTAAATATTTAGCATTTTATTGGTGCATTTTTAATGGTCATTTGGGGATGCAAAGAGTGAGGCAGTTTAGAGGTTTTTCCTCTTTTCTTGAAATTTTATATAAATGGCTAAAGGAAAAGTTCTTCTCTGCACGGGGATCTTATTCCGATTATATGTTGTGTGGATGTGATGTATGTATATTTTCCTTCAGCCATTTGATAGAATAATGAATTGTGATTTATTTATTACTAGCTTGGTCAGTGTGTGAAACATGCAGAACTTTTTGATATTTATTACCATGGGGATAAATACAGTATATGCATGTTTAAATATATAAAAACCAATTTTAAATCATGAGTTTTCAATCCATGTTTTCATATCCATATTATAGATTTTTGTTGTTTATAAACTCATTCTTTTGCCCAGAAAAGTCTGGGATTTGTAACTCTGCCAATCTGGGAAAGAAAAAGTCATCTATAACAAAATGTACAAATTTTCACTAAATTATACTTCCCAAGATTCTTTGGTTGAAGATATAATTACTAAAATATTATTCCAATAATAAGATAAATTTCTGGTTTATTCAGGCAGATTGTATTACCTGAGCAAGTCATTTCACTTAGCTACAAAAAAAGTAGTTTCTCACAGGTTGATTATACTTCCACTCCCTCGGATGTTCAACGGTGTACAACTATGTACATAATTTTATTAACATTACATGTTTGCATTTTTCAAACTGGAATAATTCATTAGAAGAGCATTATATTCAAATTGTATATGTTGGGTGTGTGTATGTGTGTACTTGGAGACTGATACATGTGCATTTCATGTGTTACGATGTTGCTTGTCTGCTATTGTTATTACAAGCTATGAAATGTGTGGGTTGCTTCCAAAAACTCCCTTTCTATTCTTTTTTGAAGGAGCGGTGCAGTAGATCCAAGGTGATTATTAATCTGCTAAGTGTGGCTTGACTATGCATGTTCTATGACAACCATTTCCTATGGACCATCCACTCAGATGGACAAACTTATTAAAATTTGCTTGAGAAAGAAGGGCTGTATGAAGGATTTGTTTTGGTTCATATGACCACCACTTTACAATGTTGTTGCTGGCATGTATTAAAAAAAAAGTTTTGAAATAGGCCATTTTTTTTGCATCTGTATATGCTTTCTATGTGAACCACTGGCTATCACACTTTGAACCAGCATGGCATGCTGAGTTTCCTTGCTCTCATTTTATGATCACCATGCCTACTACATATTGTGATTTAGTCATTCAATTAACTTGGCAGTTTCTAGTATCAAGGAAGCATTTTTGTATTGATTATATACAAAAACTACTTATATTTCAGCATAGTTAAAGAAACCTATAGAGCCTATGATAGTCATGGGGATCTGTTCATACCAGGAGATTCATTTTTCTTTTTTTAGTTGTGTTTAACTGAACTCCTTTAAGTTTAGAACTACAGTAAAGCTTTCTATATATGTGCTGTAATTATATATAAGTATAATTTATTGTATGTTTTACAATAAATGGTACGGGGAGAAGGAGCCTGTTTTATACATTTTTCCTGTTTCTTAAAAATTTTCTTAAAGTTAAATCTATGTTATAGCAAAGACAAGCAGTCCATCAAAAAGCATGCAAAAAACAAATGCTCATATTCTAAACACCAGTGCCCATTTGTCTCTATAAATCCCGAAGATGCTTACAAGCAGCAATGTATAAATATAGCCTATGCATGAGCATTAGAACTCTTTATAAATATATCATGCATACATTTTTGTGCTTGAATTTAAATTCAGTTCAATTAATTAAATACTATACACTTTTCCATCTATTTTGCAGTTTCTCTTGCTGAAAATGTGGGCGGGGGATAGCCTTCTGTAGGGGTATATAAAATGACTGAATTTGAACAATTTCAAATTTTGAATTATTTCATTTTAATTCAAACATTATTTAATGTCTAAACTAGCTATTTGACAATCAAAGAGGCCGTTTGATTATTTTGGAAGGGTTTTAAACTTGAAATAGAGTGGTTTGCACACAAAGCTTCAAAATGAGACATTTGCTCTTGGATTGAAAACAGTTTTAACTTCAGCGATGTGTTCATCTGTAGCTTCTGGCATTAAATGGAAGCAAACTAGCAAATTTTACACAACTATGCTAAATTTGGGAGCATTTGCTCATAGACTAGCTGTTCTCTTCACTATATTCCAATAAAATATAATTGAAGCAGTAACTGCAGTAAAAATAATACATGTATTTTATAAATGAATGATTTTGTATAGAATTACATTCTGCCTTTATTTATACATGGTTATGAGTAACCATTGTGCTTGAATATTAATTACATTTCACTATGCTGATATTTATCATCTAATTGTTTTAAAGTATACTTATATGAAATTTAATAAAATAATTCTGGAATGGAAGGGGTAAAAGTAATTTATGTTTTCTTCCTACAATTATTTATCTTTTCACTAAGTGTAACCAGATTAGAACAAAGTTTGTATAAATTATAGAAATACGGCAAATAAAACAATAGCAATTACAGATAATTATAGTAATATTATCACAAAAATGCTAAACCCTATGCTTCATGTTGGTATATTCCCTAGTAAACTTAATGACATATCAAAGTATTAAAATATCTTGGGTATGCAAAGATAATTCTGCATATACATATATTAATATTGGTTCCAGTTCTAGATGCAACACTGGAAGAAAGATTTAGAAAAAATGGGAGTTTTTCCAGTAAAACCAATGAGGATAACCAGGGGGCTAGGAACTAAATTCCATAAATGAGTTTAAAGTACTGATAGCTATGTTTGGCTAGAGGGATATAGAGAATATGATAGCATTGTTGTAATATTTGAACATGTGTCACGTGGAAAGTATAACATTGGTTTTCGTTCATTTCAGAATACAGGACAAAGAATAATGGATTTAAGTTAACAGGAGTTAGATTCATCTTAAATTATTGTGGGGAGAGAAACCTGCTCCAAAGTAAAGGCAATGATCCTAAGGATAGATCAGCTGAAAGAGCAATTAATGGATCGAAAAACATTGAAAATAATTTGCCTGACTGCTTTTTCTTAACAAATTTCTATTTAGACAGAAAAGGACCATGTACAGTATAAACTTACTGTTGTTTTACTAATTGACTCCTAATGCCTCAGGTTTAAATTATTATTTTTTCTGTGAGAGTTCTGTTTTCCCCATAGTGATTTATTACCAGGATGGTAGATAGCAAATGCAACAAACTAATTTCGAAAATGAAGGATTGCTAGAAAGGTAAAACTTATGCCCAGGAATTTAATATATACCATGTTAAGACTTTTAGTATGTCTTTACAAACACATTTTTGGGGTTTTATAATCTTGTATACAGTCAATTTTCAAACAATAATTAAGAAAAGAGCAATAGGGGCCCACCAGCTTTAACAAAGAGGATTTGGGTTCAGTTGTCTTTTGTCACTTACAAAATAGAAGCAAGCTAGAAATAGACATTAAACAGGACTATCTTGTCAACAAAATCTGTTGGTGCCCTGAAGTTACTTTTAAGCCTTCATCTAATCAAGTAGGTCAGAAGTTGTACAATAATTGGATCACAGTGGAAAGTATTGTCATATTGAGAGACATATGTCTTGCAAAAAAAAATCTATCGTGCTTTGAAATGAGAAGCAAATTAGAAAAAAAAACATTGGTGAGCTGGAATATCTGAGGAATAAAGGAACTGAGTCTTCAAAAACCCAATACTCAGAAATAATTAAATAAACAAATAATCAGATGGATAGTACAAAAACAATAATTCAGCCTTCAAGAAAACGAGTAGTCTTTCAGCCCACCGAGCAACAAGGACAAGATTCTCTTGTCTTTTAAAGCAATGAGGCAGAAAATAGTAATTTAATTAGACAAACTTGAGGCATTACCTTCAGTTATCAGAGTGGCATCTGCTCACAGCCTAAGGCATTATGGCTGATCAGCAACAGACACAATTCATTTAATTTTCCTGATGCATTTTGTTAACCAAAAGGAAGAGTGATAGCAAAGCAGAGCTAGGTAAAGAGAAAACATTTTGGAATTAAATAGCAACAAAAATGCCCAGAATTGAAGTGATGTTGAACTTAAAGATGGATAAGTAGTCAAAAGATTTTATCTAACTGACATAAACACAAAATCAAACTGAGATTATTTTGAGAAGTTTAATTAAAGTGATTCCTTGTTGAATATAAGCACATCAGATTCATTTGACTACACTCAAGCCTCACAATATTAGTATTTTGCTGTTCTACATGCTTCAGTTAAATTGCCAGTAATAGCTTTAGCACTGAATAGCAATAGCAATAGCAGTTAGACTTATATACCGCTTCATAGGGCTTTCAGCCCTCTCTAAGCAGTTTACAGAGTCAGCATATCGCCCCCACAGTCTGGGTCCTCGTTTCACCCACCTCGGAAGGATGGAAGGCTGAGTCAACCTTGAGCCAGTTAGCCGGTGAGATTAGAACTGCTGAACTGCAGATAACACTCAGCTGAAGTGGCCTGCAGTACTGCACCCTAACCACTGTGCCACCTCGGCTCCTCAATACAGCTTCAATATGTGACCATTCATTCAATGATGGTCCAAATGCACAACAGTCTTACTGAAAATGACTTGCAACAAATCCTTGAAGTTGTGATCATTACACCACTTTTGGTACATGAGCAAAATTAGAGTACTTGGCAACTGGCTCACATTTACAATGGCTATATCTTGAGGTTATGTGATCACAATTTGAAAACTTCTCTGCTGGCTTCCAACAATCAAAGTTAATGGGGGAAGCTAGATTTGCTTAACAACTTACTACAAATTATCATAAAATTGATCATCTGATGACTCGCTTTACAACTATACCGATTTACAATGGAAATTTGCGTCCCAATGATGGTTGAGGTTGAGGACTACCTATGCAAAAGATTTATCATGTTTTAAAAAGATCCTTCTTTCTCTGTTTATCTATTGGTTTCGGTTCAAAAGATAGAAGCACGCTATTTCTTACACATTCTTCCCTCACCAAAATATTTCAGAAAAGGAAACTAGTGCTACATTCTAATCAAATTGTGTGTTAATCCTGTTCTGTTAGCAGTCTACTTTTTTCAGTCTGATAATTATTGGTATAATTTTTAATTAGATGTACCTGGAAAAATCAAAATATTGATGTTAGAGGTAAATGAGAGCAGGATTTTAAAAAACTTTTATTATCTGTGTCTGAATTTACAATTTACCAACTACCATCCTTTTTAAAAATTCCCCTAGTGTTCAGGGGTTTCTTTCCTTCCTTCCTTCCTTCCTTCCTTCCTTCCTTCCTTCCTTCCTTCCTTCCTTCCTTCCTTCTTTCTTTCTTTCTTTCTTTCTTTCTTTCTTTCTTTCTTTCTTTCTTTCTTTCTTTCTTTCTTTCTTTCTTTCTTTCTGTTTAGTATGGTTCCAGAATGCTGGCCTCTGAAAATAGGGGCTTCTATCCTAAGACTTCTTGCACTGACTATGTCGCCACATAGTTTTCTCTGGTCACATAGCCTGTTACACAAGCCATATGAACAAAACCTCTGTCTTTTGTCTATTCAAACATAAGAAGCATTTTCACTTTTTAAATTGAAGATTAGTTGCATAAAAAGGGTAAAAAGTAGAAAGTAGGACAGCAGCTTTTAGCTCGTCTATAAACTCCCTTCTACGGGGATAATCACCCTTTCATTTTAAATACTAATGAATGAATGTGCTATTGAATAAATCCACAAATTACCTTAATCTATTAAAATAAATGCTGGAACCTTTAAGAATAGATTAGTTTCACACACAGATAGCAGTGAGACAAGTTTCAGCAAATAAGAATTTATTACTAGACATGTAGCAAGGAAAGGAAGCTTAGAATCTAAAAAAAGCATGTTTTACATTTCAATAGAAGTAC